TATTTATTTCTTGTAATTATTACATTTCAACAATCATCCTGAAAAACCCTTTTTAAGATTATCAATAACCTGCCTTCAGCTCAAGGAAATGGAGACTTAACTGATAAATTTCCTCCAGTATTAGAACATCATTCTGTTTCCTTAAAAGTCTCACTTTTCTAATTTGCTGTACTTATTCTTTGGATTTTCCCTTTTGTCTTTTTTCTATGTTGTAAAGTCTTATTTATGTATGCATTTTTGATAATACCTTAAATATCCTCAAGGGCTAATATCTTAGCTATTGTCTCTTATAAATTATATATTCTCTCAGATATTTCCTCTAAATCCATTGTTTGTTCTACCCAATAAACCAGTCTGATTTAATATGGATACTCTAGTTCTTAGTACACAATCCAGATTTCTAACAAGTTTTTGGTTTTTTTAGCGATTGCAGAACTTGTGAGTCTAGAATTCTCGCTAAGCTCCAGATAATTATATTCAATTTTCCAGTTGATTTTTCTACTTGGAAATCTCATAGCTTCTTATAATCAATATATTTAAACTTTAGCTTTTCCTCAGTTCTAGCCTCCCACCCACACAATTATATCTTCATTCCTTTTCACTGGTACCATCACCTGCACAATCTACCTTTTCGTTTTGCCATCTCCACACATTCATAATGTGATTTCTTCTTCCTGATGTATATGTACACACTTCATCAAACTTATATTGGCTAATTCCTACTTATATTAAATAATGCATCTCTCCTTAAAAACCTTAGCTGAATTCCTAGACTATTCTGTATGCTCTGCTTCCACTTATCGCTTTATACTGTAAGAGCTCTACAATTTTTTCTTCACAATACTACTTTGGAGATGGACTTCCAAAAATATTTGAGTAGCCAAAGAGCTATCAGAAACACTGCTTTATCTTTTTTATGGATTTTTGATTTTGTGAGAAATTTCTTGAACTTCACTCAAAATTTTTACTTTACCAAAAAACATTTTTCCTGTATAGCATGTAATGGTACTCTTATACAACAAATTCATATATGTAGATAGATGGTCAAATTTATGGATTCATCACATGGAGTAAGAAATCAAGAAATTTGATAGAAATGACTAATGTGTTACAATGTTAATAATTTATGTTTCATAGTAGCAATGCACTCATTTAAAAAATGAATGCAAAGTATATAGCATAATGCTTGGCATATGCATATTTTATTCTAAAAGTTACCTAATATATTTTCATGATAAAGAAGCCAAATTTGTTCACTAATAATCGATTAGTCTTTCTAAAATATATATTGTCCTATATTCCTATGGGTTATTTAAGCATGGTTATGTAATTTTGTAAAATTTTTTTTAAAGATTTTATTTATTTATTTGACAGAGAGAGACACAGCGAGAGCCGGAACACAAGCAGTGGGAGTGGGAGAGGGAGAAGCAGGCTTCCCCCCAGGAGGGAGACCGATGTGAGGCTTGATCCCAGGACCCCGGGATCATGACCTGAGCCGAAGGCAGACGCCTAACGACGGAGCCACCCAGGTGCCCTAATTTTGTAAAATTTTTACCAATTATATTTTTGTCATTTCAATTATTTTAGTTATTACCGTGAGTGGGAAATATTGACAAAAAATTTTCTTTTTTTAAGATTTTATTTATTTGAGAGAGACAGTACAAGTAGGGTAAGGCACAGAGTGAGAAACAGGCTCCTCACTGAGAAGGGAGGCCAACACATTGCTCAATCACAGGACCCCAAGATCATGACCTGAGCCGAAGGCAGATGTTTAACCGACTGAACCACCCAGGTGCCTGACAAAAAAATATTTCTATGAAACAAAATGTTTCCCAGTGAAGTATGTACCTTACAAATAGATAGGGTACATATAAAGGTTTTATTTCTCCAACACTAAAATGCCAATATTCTGAAACAATTGAGAAAGCAATTTAATAGTCTTTATATAAAGCTATACGGTAAAATTTTCCAGTTTTCCATAGAAAGAACAACACCAAGAAAATATTTTACTCTGCATTACAACTTCAATTTTTACCTTGCCCTCTTCAATGTGCTTCAAGATTTACAGCTTCTGACATTCTCCTTATAATACCTATTATATCCAGCCAGTGAGCACTTAATTGATAATGATGAAAATCATCTCTCTATCTGTGGCATATGTTGAACATCTGTTTCAGGCTATAATTTTAAATTTATGCCTCCTGTTTAAAACTGAAGCATTGAGAAAATAAGTTTTCATTTTTCCAGTTATATTTTTAATTGTTGGCTGACCAATGGGACTGAAATTATAGTAGAGACTTTCACTTTTGAAACTGTATCAGAAGAATATGGAAGAATAGAAGCACAACCCGTTATAAACTGACACATAATTGTTTTCTAATTGGTGTGTATTCTATAAATACTCATCTCTGCCGTCATATGGACATGCATATGTAATTTGCTAAGCTTCAGACATCTAACTAGAGCTTACTGTTAAATAAAATGTTCACTTGAGACCTATCTGCTAATCTTTGCCTCATAAATAGTTATTATGAAAAGGAAAAGAGTGAACTTTGAAAAACTCCTGCTTACAAGCTGTCTTGCCTTGGCCCAAATTAATGTACCTCAATTCTCTGAAACCAGTGAGACTTCTCCATATTGTGGATATTTTCTTCTTTCTTCCATACAGTATCCTTTTCCCCTGCTCTTAGTAAAATGATCCTCTATTTCTGATATAGGATTCTATATGGTTCTGGGGAAGATTCTGTTCATAGAAATTTTCTCTCTTCTTGCCTACTCTTCCCTGCCATCAGTTGATGGGCAGATGATTCAATCATGGCAATTAGGCTTTAGCTCCTGGTAAGTTAAATTTGAGGGCAATGTCACCTTGAGATAATGCTAAAAGTGAACATCCACAAATACACAGTCCATGTGTTCCTGATTGAATGTTCTAGAGCTGTGAAAATTCCTGCCATTTATTAAAAATAGTAATTACCTTTTTCTTTCTCTCTCTCTCTTTTTAAGTTATAACTATTTGTTTAATTCCCTTTTTATTTTTATTATTTTATTTTATTTTTGCTAATTCCCTTTTTAAAAATTATATCAGCTAGAGTGGATTTCTGTTGAGACAAAAGAATTCTTACTAATTCAGTACTCCACAGTTATTGTGATAATTAAATTTCATTAATTGAAATAACATGTGAAATTGCCTATCGAATAGGTGATTCTAACAGAACAAGCTGAATAATTATTTTTTACCACCTTTGTTACCTTAGCATCTTCCCCAATTCCTATTAGCTGCTTTTATGATTTTTGTAAGCACTTGATGAAGTTTTGTTTTAGTATTTGGGAATCACAGAATGTCAAGCCTCAAATTTTGCCTGGTCTGAATTAGAATTTATCCAAACCAGTATTCTCATCTTATAGAAATGAAAAATCAATTAAGGATTTACAAACCTGTCCTTGTATTTGAAGAAGTTGACCATGACCATGATTTTTGCAAGTATCTTTTTCAAGAGAAAAACATGACTCATTAAATTCATAGATTGTACTAGAGATGTTTTTGTGACTGCAACCTGCAAATCCTGATGTATTCCAGTATTTTAAATAATGTGTGTCATGCAATAGGTATTGGGTAAATCTGTTGAGGAAATTATCATTTTCAAATGTTTTTGCTATTTGTAATTCTATTCTTTGGATTTACATCATCACAATCCCTTTGTTTTAAATGAACCACAGCTTGCTTCTCTAATTCACAAAAAAAAAAATAGCAAATGAACTTAGGTTAGCAAAGACATGAAAGAATTAATGTGTAAATAAATATGGGTTAGGGACACACACACACACACACACACACCCAGAGAGAGAGAGACACACACACACACACAGAGACACAGAGAGAGAGAGATAGGTTATCTATTCCATCAATGTGGTTCATGATGAAAGATCTCCTCACCATATCTCTGGAGATAAATTTTATTTATCAATTCTCAGTTTTAAATGGCCACTCAAGGGCGCCTGGGTGGCTCAGTCGTTAAGCGTCTGCCTTTGGCTCAGGTCATTATCCCAGGGTCCTGGGATCGAGTCCCACATCAGGCTCCCTGCTCAGCGGGAAGCCTGCTTCTCCCTCTCCCACTCCCCCTGCTTGTGTTCCTGCTCTCACTCTCTCTGTCAAATAAATAAATAAAATCTTTAAAAAAAATAAAATAAATGGCCACTCAATGCAAAATTTAGAGTACTTTTCCTAAAACATGTATAATATTAAAATGAAATTAAGCCTTCAGATTGGCTATCAGGAAACTGTAATTTTAGAAATAACTTTTTTTTCTTCTCATATGTACGGTATAACCAGAGTGGATTAATACAGCATAGATGCAAATATTGTAAGGTGGAATAATATTAACATTGTAAATGAGTATAAACACATAGACCATTATCATTATGTATATTAATTTCAATAATGCATAAAAGTATATAAGTTTGTTTAAAATTAATAAAATTTACCATAAAAATATATGGCTTACATCACAGAAATCTGCTAATGTAGCAATATAACAGTCTTATAAATAGACTGAGGTGTCTATAAGGAAGAATAGAACTAACACCTAAAGTAGAAGTTGAATCTGTTACTTTTCCCTCCAACAACAACACTCAGATTTATTGAATGATTACCCACTTACAAATACAAGACAGAACTGCAAAACTAGTTACATCAAATATAATGTTGAGAATTTCGCAAGCAACTCCATGGTATTGCTATTTCGATAACCATTTTATTTGGCAAAGCAGTTGGCAGGGACCTTAAACCAATACTAGCACCCTCATGCAAATGCATGCCCTAGATAGCAGACCTCAGAGTCACAAGTAAAATGTAAGTTTATGATAGGACTTCCTGCCAGTCCTTATAATCACCAGTCTCCCCTGCCTCCCAAATCCTCCCTCCTGTGTGCCTCTTAGATAAGACCCATATGGGGCTAACAAAAACCCTACTTGCTTGGTTTGAAATGACCAATCCAGCCTTAGCTAAGGAACCCCAAAGCACGCACTCATGGACCCTAAGTCATATGCCCCAGCAACTAGTGTTCTCTCCCTGCACTGTCTTGACTTCCTTGAGTGGTCCCTCTAGGCATGACCTGTTCTGCCTCCAGGATCTGTGAGTAACACATCTATTTTAATTTCTCTTGTGGTCTCTTATTGAATGGCAGCTCACCATCCAGCACCCTATGCTCCACTCAACAAATGTAAAAGCAATTAAAGAAGGTTGTTTCCAAAGATTAAGAAGCATAAAGAAGATTGTTGGCACCGAAATAGTATCTGTGGACATCCAGCCCAACTCACTCTAAAGGAAATTAAGGTGCAGAGTAATCAATAAATTGGCTTAAATTTATACAGTTGGTTATTTGAAAAATTAGGGCTTCTGTCTCTTCTCCCTGGCTTTGTCTCTGTTTCTGGGCTTTTCTCCCTGGTCATTCCTTTCCTTGAGCAATTCCCTCCACAGATCAGTATATTTATATCTCAGATTAAGTATCAAATCTTTAAAAGAGATTCTGGCCAGTTAAAAGTAACTGACTTCTCCTCACCCCTACCAGTAGCTTTTTATTGTTGTTAAGCTATTATTTTGTTTTTTAACATTTAATGTCTAAATTTGTTTTCCTCTGGCTCTTTCTCTGTCTTTCAAGCTTCTTGGAGATTGGGGCCTTACCTCCCTTTTCAGGGCCATATAACCTATAACAGTAACACATAGGGAAGTATTTAATAAATACTTGTGTGATGACTTGTTGCATATTGCTCATATCGAAAATATCAACTCATCAGAGGCTTTTTCTCACCATCCTGTCTGAAGTAGTAGCCCCCAGTCTGTCACCAAACCCTGCCAGATGCTACTGTAACTGAACAGCCTATTAATAGAAAAAATACTAAATTATGTAGCACATTATACATTCACCACGTGCTGCACATAATTTGACAATTTTAATCAAATCAGTATGTGCAAACTAACTTTTGCTATTAATTATATATACTTTACTGTCTATTGATCAAATTAGCTAAACAAGTTCTCTGCTATGTAGAAATACTTCAAATAAAAACTGGAAAAATAGCTAATCAAACATACTGCTAATATTGAGATATACTTTCTGTGCTTCCGTTTCCTTATCATTGAAATGATGATGATAATAGTACCATTCTTACAAGGTTATAAACATTGAATAAGTGACTAAAAATAAAGTGCTCTGTAGAATGACATACAACAGAAATTGAACAAGCATTAGTATTTCTTAAAATGTAATCTCCATTTATATTTCTATGATGCTTTAAAATTTAGGTGTTGATTATATTCAGGCAATAAACAATTTTACTTATTTTTTTTTAAGATTTATTTATTTGAGAGAAAGAGCATGGACTCGATTGGGGAGAGGAGTAGGGGGAGAGAATCTTCAAGCAGAGTCCCTGCTAAGCTCAGAGCCCCACACGGAGCTCCATCTCATGACCTATGAGAGATCACAACCTAAACCAAAACCGAGTCAGAGAGATTAACTGACTCAGCCACCCAGGTGCCCCTTACTTGTGTTTAATTGTTTTGGGGTCATGAATACCTCTAACTAACAATAAAGCCAATTTATTATTTTACCATTGACCAAGGATTTTACTTTCATAACATTTAACATATTAAATGCATTTTTCCTTCCTATCCATTAGGCTATATTTCAGTGTTGTTATTAAACACACAACTCTAGCAAAAAAGATGATATGGCTATGAATGGCAAAAACACTTGTTTTTATAAAACTCATTTGATGACCTTATTTTATCTCCACTATTATTTTATTGGCTAAATCTTCTTTATTTCTTGGGTTGTGCTCTGGAGTGTGGTGCAGAAAAAATGAATATGTGACATACACTATATGTAGCCTACAAATTCTAAAATATTTTAATCTGGCTTTTTTCAGGAAAAAAATTTGCCAGACCCTCAAGAGTTACCTATACTTTTATCCTCCCCTCTCTTCCTCCTTTTGCTATTTTTGCTTTTTACCTTTTTCCTATTTCCTACCTTTAGATAGATTGATGATAGAGAGACAGACACGCATAGATGTAGATCTTAAAAAATCAAAACAACATTCTTAGGAACTAGGGCAGGGCCAGACTTGTCCCCTGCCTCAGGCCATAGTTTGCTAACCCTTAGTCTTGATTTTACAATATACATATTAAATTTTTCATAATCTACCTTTAAATTATATTATACAGTTTCTCCAAATAGTTAACTAATATTATAATAGCAGAATTCCACCCTCCTACATATCCTGTTCATTCAAAAGTACCGTGTTGCATTTTTATTATTTTTGCTTTAGACGGTTAATTGTTTAAAGAGATTTAAAATAAGAAAAATATATTTTACATTTATTCAGAAATTAACATTTCTGGCCTTCTCCATTCTTTTCACCTAAAGCCATATTTCTGCCCTGGGGTGCCTGGGTCGCTCAGTTGGTTGAGCATCTGATTCTTGATTTCTGCTGGAGTCATGGTGTTAGGGTCCTGGGATGAGTCCCGGGCAGACTCCATGCTCAGTGGGGAGTCGGTTTGAGGATACGCTCTCCTTCTCCCTCTGCCCTTCCGCCCACTCATGCTTTTTCTCTCTAAAATAAATAAATCTTAAAATAAATAAATAGAGCCATATTTCCATGTTTGTTTCACTTTGCATTTTGTCTGAAGAACTCCCTATCCTATTTCCTACAGTATAATTCTGGCTCTGAATACTTTCAGCTTGGGTTTATCTGAAAAGTATTTTTTTTTTCAAAAAGATTTATTTTAGAGAAAGAGAGTGCATGTGTGCAGGGGTGAGGGGCAGAGTGAGAGGGAGAGAGAGTCTTAAGCCGACTCAGTGCTGAGCGGGGAGACGGACACAAGGCTCAATCTCACAACCCTGAGATCACGAACTGAGCCAAAACTGAGCCTGACACTTAACTGACTGCACCACCCAGGCATCCCATGAAAAGTAATTTGCCTTAAGTTTTGAAAAATATTTTCTTGGTGTATAAATTTCAGGTTGACTGCTTTTTGCTTGTTTTTTGGCACTTTAAATGTGCTGTTCCATTGCCTTCCAGATTGCATAATTCTATTATTTTCTATCTATATAATTTTTAAATTTGTTACTTTTAATATCATATTGATGGTTTTCAATAAATTGACTATGATATATCTGTGCTTCACTTTATACTTATTATTCTTTAGTTGAGCTTACTGGATCTGTGGTTTATAATTTTTTTATACTTTGAAAAATCTAGAATTATTTCATCAAAATGTTTTCTTTCTTAACTCCTCTTGGAACCCTAATTGCCCATTTATTAGGCATCTTGATATTTTCCCTCAAGTTAGTAATGCTCTATTCAATTTCAATTTTTTTCCTCTGCTTCATTTTAGATTGTTTCTATTTCAATATCTTCACAATCATTGTCCTTTTCCCCCTTCTTGTCCAGCATGCTGTTCATTCCATCAATTTTATTTTGCGTTTCGGATGTTTCATTTTTCATCTCCAGATGATTTAGAGCTCTTTATATTTTCCATTTTTCTTTCCATTATGTTTGTTCTTTCCCTTTCATCTCTGAAAATATTTGTAATAAACATAATAATAGCTGTATTAAAATGTTTTCTTACTAACCCATTATCTCTGCATATCTAGTTCTATTTCTATTAAATGTTTTTTTCTGGTTATGGGTCCTATGTTCTTGCTTTATTACATGCCTCCTCATTTTTAACTGATGTCTGACATTGTGAATTTTATATAGTGATTACTGGGATTTATAGCCTTTGTAAGAGTCTTAAGGCTTTGTTTTAGCATGCAGTCAACTTACAAATCAGTTTGAGTCTCTACATTTTTAAGCTTTGTTAGGACACAGAATAGACTTTACTCTAGGGCTTTTCAGTGAAGGCATGAATCTTCTGTGAATTATACCTAATTCCCTTTTATTACAAGGACTCTTTATTCTGACACTTGGGGACATGAACGATTTTTGTTTTACATCTGCTTAGACCATTGTTCAGCATATTGCTTTCTAGTGGTTCTTTTCCAACATCAAGAAGTATCACCATGTACAAGAACAGATCAATGCAAAGCCAAAGAAGTTAGGAGATTCCTCTTAACATCTCCAAATTTTCTGTCTGCAGGTCTCTGATCACTGGTACTTTGCTCCATGAATTATAATGGCTTTGGCCTCCCTCCATCTGCCCAAATCATTGAGTCATTTGGTCCTGTTTGTATTTTTTTCTCCATTCACTGCAGCCTTGAAACTGCCTCCAGGCAGTATCCTGGGTAAAAATTAGGGTTCAACTATTGGTTTCTCTTCCCTAGGGGACAAAGTTGTGTGATAACTCTAGTTCAATGTGTATAAACTCTTGTTTCATATTTTTTTGTGAAGGGAGGGCAATCTCTCTAACCGTAAGTCCTCCATAGTTTGAAGCAAGGTTCTTGATACAATTTTTGATTTAGTATCTTGACCTATAAAAATGTCAGTTTTAGAGGTTTATTCTTGGGTTTTCCACTACAATAGCTATTATCTGACAGGCCATGAAAAGAATGTGCGCATTCAGTCAAGTATTTTAGACAGGCACATTAATGTTGGTTTGTAGACCCACTAGATCCACTGTGAGCTGGACCTGGTCCAGGACTCAACTTATTACCTATCTCCTATATGGTCCATTCTAACAGAAGGCCATGGCAATGTCTGAGTCCTTTGATATTAAAGCTAAACTAGGCCCAGTATTCAAAATTTCACAAAACATTGCCATTTTTTTTGCCCCCACTATATTACTCATGTTAATGGACATAGTCTCCCTAAGGAAAGACATAGAGAAAAGTTATCATATGCATGTGTTATGGTGATACAGGATTCTCTTTCTTAGGGACCAGACTCGCTACATCTGATAATGGGTTCTGGAGCTGAGTATATGCTCAGAACTAGAAAGTAGGCAAGATATTGTGAGTTCTGCCACTGTTCTAAGTCCCCTGGTTTATTTTATAAATCAGGTAATCTTTATTCCCATGATGCAGGTTGTAAAATTTCTTTGTTGCTACTCATCCGTCTTTTCCCCAGGAACACCATGTTCTCGTAGCCATCTTGATAGCTCTGTACAAGACAAGCTCTCTGGTTGCCACTCTGTTA